GGCTTTGGCTTTGGCTTTGACTTTAGCTTTGGCTTTGGCTTTGGCTTCGGCTTTGGCTTTGGCTTCGGCTTTGGCTTCGGCTTTGGCTTCGGCTTTGGCTTGGGCTTCGGCTTTGGCTTTGGCTTTGGCTTTGGCTGCTTCCAATTGTTGGCGAGAATATCCCGGTTTGTGCTCAGTCGTCTTAGACGGCTTGCTGCCAGATGCGACCTCATTTGGATATTCATGATTGATGATTGCTGTGACACGAGCTGTGTCATCAGTCCAATCCAATGACCTAAGAAAAAAGATGAAATTGAGAGAGAAAAATAAGTGATTTCGAACATTTGCAATTATAACCAACACTTTTCTTAGCCAAATTTCTGAATAACTAACCATTCGGCTGCTGATGGCAGCAATGACTTCACAGCGTCCGGTTCGAGAATACCATGGCTGTGACCAATCGATGTCATTTTTGACAAAGCCAATGACAATGTATTTGCATCAAAAACGTATGATTTCGTGGTATGCTGAATAGCCTTGCTCGTTTGAACTTTCACACCAACAGGAGATTTCACCGTCACTTCTCCAGGTTCATCTTTTGCAGGCACCGCCTTCGTCTCGTGGTTTCGGAAGTGAGTTAGCAGTTTCAACGTTCCTTTGCGAGTATCGGCGAAAATGATCGATGGTTCTGCGGATTCCTCACACGTTGGACAGTAAAAGAAGCAGTGCATTTCTTTTCCCTCTTTGTCGACGATTAGTTTCAGCAGATCGTATGCTACTGATCGGTTTGGTTTGTCATTTGACTTAGCCGTGTATGTTCCAGATTTCAACCCAGCGCGAATCTCTTCGAATTTGGCTTGTTTTCGGACTTTTGTTAATGCATTGAATGCATCAGAGGCTTCTTTGAGTTTCGACTGAGATTTCTGCTCCATACTCCACCTGTGTCAAGAAATAATTGTTTTAAAATTAGAGATTTTGCGATTTGTGAACACTGTGTGTGGATGTTTGTATGTCTATTTTTTGGATGAATGGATGACAGACAATATTGCACTCTCAACACGTCACAACCATTGTGTTTTTAGAACAAGAATTGGTTTTTTTCGACAAATATGTAATTTTTGATCACAAAAATAAATGCTTTTTTGAGAT